CAAAATGTCATCATGACAGCTCTGGCTGTGTGAAATCTTCCCCCAGCCTAGGGGGAATCTAATCCAATCTTTGACAACCAGAGAAGACTCAAACCACTGAATCCCCAGAGAGTCCCCTACCCAACTGCCAGAAGCCCTGATTGTCATAGCTATTGCTCCAAGAGTCTTGACTTGAGTTATAAAAGCTTCAGATGACCCTTAAATGACTAGACCACGCACAGCCACCCTGATCTCCTTTCTGTCCTTAATCTGGTGAGGGAGGAGCACTTCCCCCAACCTAACAGCTAGTACACTCCTGAGATTGGTGAGATTTGGATGAGCAGCCTTCTCAGAACACTCTAGATCTTTATCATGGGTAGAAGGGTCTGAGCAAATAACACAAAATTAGTCACCTCCTGGGGCTCTCCGCCCTAGGCACACCCAGCAGCAGAAGCAGTCAGAAGGCAGCTGAAGAATCCCAGATTACAGCTGGGAGCAGAGACTGCAGAGCTGAGACTGTGGGGAAGCAAGAGCAGTGGAGAGCCAACACTGCAGTGGCTGCAAGCTCCAGACACTACTGAGAATCTCTAGCTCCAGTGCCCTGATGCTAAGGAGCTGACAGTCCTAACCCCCTGAAGGCCAGGCCTGTAGCAGAAAGAGCAGAGTGTCCTGGCACCCTAAACTCAGAGCTCCACCAGCTGTGGGGTACTCAGTGAGCAACACTGAAGGCCCAGGAGCTGCCCATGGTCCCAGCACCCTAGGCTCAGGAGCCGGGACACTAAGAAGCTGTACTTTGCCTTCTTATGCTTTCTATCTAATAGAACAAGAGAACCAGAAGTGGACTGGTGATAGGCCATCTGTAGGGGCCTTGAGAAAGCATACAGATTATTAAGGCTTAGAAATGATAATATCTGAGTACTGGGAAGTTAGAGGCAAGGGAATTTCCCATGGGATTAAATTTGGAGAAGGATTAAATACTTGAAAAACTGCATGTAACTGAATTTGTCTATGTCTATCATAGCTTCAGCTTACTAAAGGGAGCCAGATACAAAGAACTGCCTAGTAAATTTTTACCAAGTACAGACGTCTCCTATGGTCAGGCTCATTACTTTCCTATGATCTTTTTAACTTCAGATTGTCAGCATGAAGTTGGCTATGTGAACTACAATTGTTTCTTCATTCCAATAATCCCTAGCAATCAAATCTGTGTACTTTGTATGAACAAAATGTTAAATGTTACTTATTACCCATTAAATTGCACCAGACTACCCTAGAAACTCATTAACCTCATTTAAAAGATGTAGTTATATTTAGAGGTTAGCTATTTTTGTTCAAAAACAGTTTAGTGAGCAAAAAAGCTTGCCCTTGCCCAGACGACTCCAAAGCCAATCTGTTAGCTATATACTACAATGCAATACCCTGCCTGGCCTTCAATGTTAAAGCTCTTATATTGTCTAGCCTTTCCTCCTACCATCCTATGACCAGGTTGTTGTACTTAATGACTGCACAGATAACTTTTTGGAAAGGAGAGTCTCGCTGGAATTCCTAGTTGGAGAGAAGATAAAATTTGCCTTCTTTTGCTAAGGGAAAAACAAAAATCAGAAAATGAAACAAAGCTGACAGTTCACACTACAGTACTATGTATGGGCTTCCTTGAGGAAATAATAACCCAGTGCTGGGCCATTCAACAACCTTTTTTACTCAGACCCCGCTAACAGAATTCTCATACCACAGTGGTTTGATTTTTCCTTCCCCCAAAGAAAAACAGTCTCAAGGTGTTCTTCCCTGTTTTCCGCCACTCTTCACCAGGCTAGCACACGGGGCCCTCAGAGCTCAGCTTGGGAATGAACCACTTCCAGGGACAGCTCTGATTTCCCTCACAAGCTCCCACTGGATTAAGCACACTGTTTTCCCACCATAATCTGCTCACTGGGTTCCCGTTTGCCACACTGGCCCTCGCTGAAACAGACTCTTAGAAACTGCTTTTACTAAACAGCACTGGCTCCCCCCACTTGGGCCCATAAGGTAACTCCAGGAGCAAAGCCTGGCATCTCTGTCTTCATTTTGTCTCGTCTTTCTCATTCTTTGACTACTGAAATCACATAAATGTGCAGTCTGCAATTCCAGAAAGGGTGGTGGAACAAACCCTCCACTCCAAGTGCCGGCCACTTACTATCCACGAGGGAGGGCAGAGCTACACTCTGGAACAGAAGTGATCACCTCGTAGGAACCAGAATGATCCTTCACAGAATGACAACTAGGAGAGGATGACAGAGATGCACACTTCTCAGACCAGCTCATGGGTCCAGAGCTGAAATAAGGAAGGCTCAATAATGGTCAAGACCACACCTTGACCAGAGCTGCTAATTATGCATATCACATGCCCTTTGCCCAGTTCTTCCTCTATTTAGTCAAAAGCTTTTAGCTGAAGACACAGGGGATCACAGGACCCCTTATCTGTTCCTTTCCCAATGTGGGTGGCCAACTGAAGCAAACTTTCCTCTGCTCTTCACCATAACTTGGAGACAGATAGCTGAGCCTAGCCTGCCAAGGATACCAGAACACAGGGGTTTTTACCCTGAAAATTCACATTAGATTACTAGATATACTAAAGATCCATGGCCCCACCCAATATACCACCAACATACCAATTATACCATGCTAAGAATAAGAGAAGTAAAGTAAAATATTAACCTTCCAAATGTATTCTTATCTACAAATATCATTAAGTGGTATTGGAACTGACCTATACAAATCCATTTACTCATATAGTTAATCTTATTAATTTTATTATGCTATTAATTCAACAATTATGTCCTAGTTTGCTTTCTACTACTGTGACATAAAGACTATGACCAAAAACAACTTAGGGAGGAAAGGGTTTATTTAATTGTCTATACAGAGGAAGATAAATTAACATCACTAGCAGAAACTAGGCAAAGCCCCCTAAGAATACCTGCAACTAGCATTTATTTAAAGACAAAAGGGAATAAACACTCAAGATTAAGACAGCAATTCTATAAGGGAGAAAACATAATACTACTTACATATTAAAATTATTCCTAACATCACAACTCTCCCCAAATCACTGTCTAATCACAACCTACCCCTAAGAGTCTAAGTGTTGCCTCTGCTAATTTGTTTTCTAAATAACACACTTCATCCATCCAACTGCTTTGAAGAACTCATTTGAATTCTGTTATTTAAAGAATCCTTGAATTTGGAAAGTAAGGAAGTGTTTAAAGACCTAAGCTACATGCAAATAACATGGGGGGGTGGTTTTATTTGGGGGAAGGCGTCATCTGTGCCAAAGCACTGATGTGGAGAGGGGTCAGAGGTCAGCGGTCAGTCTCTCCTTCCTCTCTGGGTAGTCCTGGGCATGGAAATCAGGTTGGCAAGTTGAGGACTAAGTGCCTTTTCCTGCTGAGACATCTTGCTGATGACCCCCAACCACTTCTTTTTGCTTCAGCATTTAAAATGTGGTTTAAAAAAAATCTTTTCCCCAAAACTCCACAGTAAATTGACCTCAACAATATTTCACTCTGTTATGACACCATGGTTCTCTCCTGTCCCAAAGTTCTAGTTCAAATTTCTTTTCTACTTACATAAACTCTTCCCTAATTTACCAATTTCCCTTCACCTGGAGCCAAGCCTAAGTGCAAGTGTTACTTCTGAAGCACAATGTCACATCACTTGACTTTCACTATGGATGTGTGCATGTGTGCATTCACCATTTGAGTTTTAGCCTGTATAAACAGTTTAAAATAGCAAAACTAAAGTAACACTAGGCTTTCTTTGCAAATTACATCTTATTGCACAGCTGATTCCCTATGGCATTACTGTCATCCTGACTTAAACAAAAAGAAAAAAAAAACCTCACAAACAAGTTTTTCCAAGATGACAACGATGAATCCGAGCAAGTCAATTGTGAAATTATAATCTAGATCTTAATCACATTGAACACTTTTTCCCCCAGGGACTATGAAAAGGTAACAAGTGACTTTGAAAAGCTGTATAAAAATCACCATTTGCCCCACATCAAGGAAAGAGCTCACAAACTCGTTTCTACTTGAAGTATTTTCTCGTAAATATTAGGTCGTTGTCCCAAAAGGTTAACTGTCATGTCTTTCCTGCTAAGTTGTTTAAATGTTCTTTAATGAACAACAATAAAAAAAAAAACACTGAAAAGTAACAAGATTTGTGTTTTGTGCGTAGTCCACGGGCAACCATACCCCAAAATTCTATAAAACATTTGAGAAGTGAACAATGAGTTACAAAACACCAGTGAACCACATATACATCATAAATAATTACCGGAGTTTTTCTTTTTTAAGCCAAAAAGAATTAAAGAAACCAAGGGGGAGGGAGCGAACCATGACTTTAACTTCTCTGATAACGACCTTTGTCCTAGTTTTTAAAATCTGCCAACTGAAAGAGCAAGGTTCCCGGGTTTTGCTCACTTTTTGTGAAGACACTTTTTCTCAAACCCTTTTGCAAAAAGTACTGCCGATTACGATAAGAAGACTTGCCGTTTTCCCAGCACAGCGCTTCTTACTCCTTGGAACTCCAGAAGAGTTTAGCAAGGATTCCTCTGACAGCGCCCCTGCCCCCAAAGGACTTCGGAGATTACGTGAAATAAACCCAATCCAAGTAACCGGGGAGGCAAGTTTCCCAAATCAGGACTTCTAAACTGCGTTGTCCCCGCATCCCTTCCTCTTTTCCTCTCACCTATGCATCTCATAACAGGGCCAGTTTCCAAGCCAAGTGAAAAACTTTATTAAAAACACTCCAAGGGGCAAAGCGGGCAAGGCACCTGACTCGGGCCGCCAACTCAGAGTGGTTTCAACGGGACGAGCCGCCGAGAGTTAAGAAAGGTTTTCTCCGTGCCCGCTAGGCTGCAGGTCAGATCCCCCAGAACCCGCCAATGCTCCCAGGACCTGCACAAGTTTCCGCGCTCCAGAAGCTGGCTCGCAGAGCGGTCGTGAGACAGGGCTACGCCGGGGCCATGGCGGTCCACTCACCTGCCCATTCTCCGAGCCGCGGGCCGACCCAGCCCTCGTTGCCCACGCACCACACCTGGAAGGCCCTGAAGAGCGAGTACGAGGCCCGCAGGGCCAGGTAGGCCACGGTGCTCGCGCCCACCCAGTAGAGAAAGCCGGCCGCCGGGAGAGCGCGCTCCATGGCTCCAGAGACTAGGCCTCACTACCTCCGTGAATGGAAAAGGAAAAAAAAAAAACAGCAACGAATGAATGGAGCGAAGAGGCGGAGCCGGTCGTGACGGCGAGGACGCCGCTGGCAGACGCCGCTCTTTGAATGCTTTGGACCCAAGACCCGCCCACAATGTCAAACCCATGTCGCCATTGGTGACTTCCTCGTCCTATGAGCGTACTGTCTCTTCCATTGGTTAGTCCTCGTTGAGTAGCCCCGCCCATACGCCCTCCTGCGCGCTGAGCGCTGCATTTTCGTATTAAGACAGTGGATCGCTCACATGCCACTCAATATTTGGCCCCGCCCACGAGCTCACATCGCGCCACCGGAGTGCAGGGATCTCTCATTGGCGGAGGCGCCCCTCACGACTTCGAAAAGCTGCGCGTTGATTGGTCAGTGAGACCTAACCTGGTTTAGCTTTGCTTTTCAGGAAGGACTGGAACCGGAAAGGGAAGGTTGTAGTAGAAGTCGGCGTGGATCGGCTGCGCTTATGTTTACGCCTTTGCATTAACCACTTTCAACCCCTTGTTAATTCTGTGAGCATCTTCGATAAAGGGTTGCGGTTCCCCCTGTCTGCGCCACACGCTTTCGCTCCAGCTTCTGAATGCCTGGTTTGAGCTTTAGACTCACGGTTCCCAGTAATTCTGAATTGGAGACGACTCTACTTACGTTAACAGTTGTAAATAGGAATGAGAAATATGCTACAAGAACACAGCTTGTGGAGCAAGTCTCCTGGGAAATGAATCGTTTTGAAGTGCACCTTGAAGAACCAGCATCACTGTATTTCTGGTTTTGTGGGAGGATAATGGAGTGAAGAGAGTGTGTGTGTTTGTCCGGCTTGGCAGGACTAAAGATATTCTAAAGAGACAGTTGTGTCCTTTGACTATCTAAACTATTAAAACAATGGACTCAAAATAGAAACCTATGCACCCCTCCCAGTTGTTTCATGCTGGGGTCAAAGAAAGCCTAAACCCCGGGCAAACTCTTCTCCCAGAATACCTTACAGGAGAGGCTATGAGGGGTCAGTGGTGAGCTGGACCACACTTTGACTGGGACTGCTTAGGTATGTGTAACTCTGGCCCTCTTTTTTTTTTCCAGAGCTGAGAACTGAACCCAGGGCTTTGCACTTGCTAGGCAAGCGCTCTACCAATCCCCCCCCCCCCCCCCCTTTTTTTTTTTTTTTTTTTTTTTTTTTGCTTCTGAAGTACATGCTTTATTTCTATCTACAGTGCCTGTTGAGCAGAGTTCTAGTTTGCAATCCAGTTTACATAACATCTCATGGGGCTGGTTGTCCTGGTCATGGGTGGAAACAAACATCATTGGCCTTGCTCGGGAGGCCACGTAAATTAGCACAAAGAACTATTTCCGTTGAGGAAATTGACTGTTTCAACAGTCCCCAAAGAATGTACCTACCACTCTCCTCTCTTTCATCGGCCCAGTCAGACTGGAATAAGTTTGAGTTTCTTTCTGAGTTTTTAGCATAAGTCCTCAGTGCCCCAATGTTTCCATAGCAACAAAACTATTAACCTGCCTCTGAGTCCCTCGGCCCCATGTCTTTCACTTTTCTTCCAGGCTCCCAAGTGTCTGCTGTCTGGCCCTCTTCTTAAACCATAACCGCACTTCAGAACTTGAAACATGGTTTGGTGGTGGTGAATAAATTTCTCTTTCTCTCTCTCTCTCTCTCTCTCTCTCTCTCTCTCTCTCTCTCTCTCTCTCTCTCTCCCTCTCCCCTGCTCTTCACCATTAATCTGACTGCTTTAATTGACTTGTCAAGGACAGGTGGCCAAACCGCAATTGTTGATGAACAAGCTGTGGCCCTAAGTCTGGTAACTGGTGGTATATGAGAGTGTACACCCTTGCATGAAGGCCAGAGGTTGACATGGGTGTCGTTTTTATTTTGGTTTTGGTTTGGTTTGGAGACAGTCTCTCTATGAAACCCTGGTTGTCCTGGCAATATCTAAATAGACCAAGCTGATCTCCAACTCAGCTCTTTGCCTGCCCATGCCTCCCGAGTGCTGGAATTTAAGATGTGTGCTACAGTGACTACCCAACATGGGATGTCTTCACCTCTCTCCACCTTATTTTGTTGAGACGGGGTCTCTCAAAGAACCGGATACTCACCTGTTTAAATAAGCTATGCTGTCACTGCCTCCCCAGTGCTGGATCACAGATGCAGCCACCACATCTGGCCTTCACATGGTGCTGGGGATCTAAACCTAGGTCCTTATGTTTGAGCAGCAAGCATTTTACATACTGAGCCATCTCCCCTGCCCCTGAAAGGAACTTTTTTGTGTTGTTGTTGTTGTTGTTTGGTTTGGTTTTTTGAGACAGGGTTTCTCTGTGTAGCTTTGCACCTTTCCTGGAACTCACTTTGTAGCCCAGGCTGGCCTCGAACTCACAGAGATCCGCCTGGCTCTGCCTCCCGAGTGCTGGGATTAAAGTCGTGCACCACCACCGCCCGGCTCTGAAAGGAACTTTTAAGGGGACACAAAAGTGTGATGTCTAGTAGATCACAGAAGTACTTCAGCAAAGTTCCAGGGTTGGGAGATGGTGGACATACGTAAACAAATTGAATCTCTGTTCAGGCTCATCTTCTGCCTTTAGCTTATAGGTCCAGGTGCCCATTCAACATCTCCACTCAAGCTTCATACATTTATTTATTGTTTATTTTTGTTTTGAGACAGGATGTCAAGTATCCGAAGCTGATCTGGAATGGGCAATGTAGTCAAGGATAGCCTTGAACTCCTGATCCTCCTGCCTCTTCGTCCCAAGGTTTGGGATTACAGGTATGTGTTATCATGTCTGTTTTTTTAATTTAGTGCTGGGGGTTGAAGCCAGGCCTATCCAAGCACTGTATCACCTGAGCTACATGCCCAACTCAAACTTAATATATTTAAAAACAGAACTCCACACCTGCATTCATATACCTCTTATAGTGGTTTGACTGAGAATGCCCACTCATAGGCTCATATGTTTGAATGGTTGGTCTCTAGTTGATAGAACAATTTGGGAAGGATTAGGAGGTGTGACTTTAATGTCATTGAGAGTGAATGTAGAGGTTTCAAAAATCCATGCAAATCCAACTTAGCTTTCTCTGCCTCTTGCTTGTGGATCAGATGTACTGTTGGGAGCCAAAAAATGGATGACTGTGCCTTGACCATTCTTGCTTGGATGATCTGACGTAACTACACCCTTGACAACCGTTACTAAGTTACAAAAAACAATAACTCCCGGAAAAAACACAAAATGTACCTTTAGATTAATATACTTTTAGAATAACTTCCTTGAACATGTTCAGGTTGGTCGGTTGCACAAGCTTTGGACCAAAGAGACCTTGCGATCCTATTCTTCAGAAGAGACCTCACCCGGACCCTATTCTTCTATTCTTCAAACTTCCCATCCCCCTCCCTTCCCCTATTCACTTCTCCTATACATCAGTGTATATAAGCCTACTTTCCCTTGCAATAAATGAGACCTTGACGCAACTCAGACTGACTCTGTTTTCTTTACGCGCTTGGTCTCCTTTCTCTTTTGCCCCATTGGTTTTTTAGGAGGTGCCTCCTCGAGTCTTACCTAATAACCTGGCCTGCTGGACGGATCAATGTACGTTCTCAGCTGCTTCTTCAGAGCTATGCCTGCCTGCTGCCAGGCTCCTTGCTATGTTCTTCATGGACTTGCCTTCTGAAACTGTAAGCAAGCACCCAACTAAATGCTTCCTTTTTTAAGTTGCCTTGGCCATGGTGTCTTGTCACAGCAATACAACAGTAACTAAGACACATTTTTACCTTTTCTTTTCCATCTCCTTAACTGGGCCACTACTCACGATTTTTCTGGGATGCAAAACCTAGAGAGTCAACCTTCCTTTCTATTAAATACTCATATCCAGTTCTTCAACAAGTCTTATTTATTCTGTGACCAAAATATACCTTGAGAGATTTCTTAGCTCTACTACTGCCAACTAATGCAAATCTCAAGTGTTTTCATCCTACAAGGCAATAGCTTCATAATTAGTCATTCTGAAGCTGTCTTGGCAGACAGATATTGCTGCTGAAGAATTTCTGTTATAGATACAGATATATAAATATAGATATAGATATAGATATAGATATAGATATAGATATAGATATAGATATAGATATAGATATAGATATAGATATAGATATAGATATGAAACTGGGCATAGCCAGGCAGTGGTGGCGCACACCTTTAATCCCAGCCCTCAGGAGGCAGAGGTAGGCGGATCTTTGAGAGTTTGAGGCCAGCCTGGTTTACAGAGCAAATTCTCTGACAGGTTCCAAAGCTAAACAGAGAAACCCTGTTTTGAAAAATAAAGAAGGAGGAGGAGGAGGAGATGAAGAAGAAGAAGAAGAAGAAGAAGAAGAAGAAGAAGAAGAAGAAGAAGAAGAAGAAGAAGAAGAAGAAGAAGAAGAAAAGAAGAAAGAATCTGGACATAATGGTGCATGACTTTAATACCATCATTCCAAAGTCAGAGATGGGTCTCTGTGAGTTCAAGGCCATACATAGCTAAATGAGTTCCAGGCCAGCCAAGGCTACATAGTAATAGCTTGTCAGGTAAAAAAGAAAGAGAGAGGGTTGGAGATTTAGCTCAGTGGTAGAGCGCTTGCCTAGCAAGCGCAAGGCCCTGGGTTCGATCCTTAGCTCCAAATAAATAAATAATAGAGAGAGAGAAAAAAGAAGACATGTAGAGAACCAGACACAATCATATTGGACTTCAAAATCATTTATTTATAAGATTTCAAGTTGAGAATAGTCTTTAATGTAAAAATGTGAATTAACAACATTGTATTGTAGTAATACACATAGATTTCCATTGGAATTCATTGGCAGTTTTTCTACATTGTGATACAAATATGTACAAATTCATATCCAATTTTCACAGCAAAATTGGGAGTAGCTTGTTGTATAAAAGAAAATTTCATAATGAGGAAATGTCACAGAAGTTGGGAGTTTTTAAGAATACCATCATAACTAAACCTTTGACACAAGAACCAGACCCTTCATTATTTCTTCTTAACAATCCCATCATCCACTGTTCTATCTGATCTTCATTTGATCCTAGTTCAACATTGTGCTTGCTTTTTTGTTTTTGGCAGGGTCTCATGTAACCCAGATTGGCTCTGAACTTCCTACACTTGAGCTTCTGGTTACCTCCAACCTCCAGCTCCTGAATGCTTGAAACCTAGGCGGATACCAACAGAGCCATTTCCTCTGTGCTGGGAAGCACACTTTGCACCTACTAGGTGAGCGCTCTGTCAACTGACAGAGCTACATCCCAGCCAGACACACTGAGCTATGATTCCATTCTACACTCCAATTGTCAAATCCTGGGTTGGAAAAAAAAAGAAAAAAGTTCTATGAAAAACAAACTAATTTAAAAGAAATAAAATCTTTAGCATTAGAAACTACTTAGAAGTTACTATTTGATTTCCTTAAGCAATAACATTATCATGAGAAAACAATATTGGGTTTTCATGTTAAGTATTTTCGTGGGCATCACTGCATCCAAAAACAACAGCCCCACTCTCCCGCCAAAGAAACCAGCTCTTGGGGCTGGAGAGATGGCTCAGAGGTTAAGAGCACTGGCTGTTCTTCCTAGAGGTTCTGAGTTCTATTCCCAGCAACCATATGGTGGCTCACAACCATCTGTAATGAGATCTGGCTCCCTCTTCTGGCCTGAAGGGATACATGCAAGCAGAACACTGTATACATAATAAATAAATCTTTAAAAAAAGAAAAAAGAAAAAAGAAACCAGCTCTTTAGTAGATCTTCTTCTGCTATGGTCTAGCTCTAGAAATAGACATCTTGCAAGCTCCTTTGAAGGTCCAGCAGGGATGGGCAGCTGTTCATACACCTTTGACTAAAGATAGACCTCCTTCATCAGAGAAACTTGTCTTCTTCCGCCAAGTCCACAGCTTCTGGAGGGAAGGAGAAGAGGACATTAGGCTGGCTAACTAGATCAACTGAATCCACCCTGGCACTCAGTGGGTGACACATATCACAGTCAGATCACCCTTGCAAGAAGACATTCTGCACTTAAAAACTCCAGGGCTCTTTCTGCTCAAACAGAACTTGAGCTCACATTCATGTTGCTTCTAGAAACATAGTTTTCAAATAAAACTGAGATCAGCCAATTTGAAACAAGGAATTTAAATATACAGCTTTAAGGATAGTGAGATGCCTCGGAGGGGAAAGGTGCTTGGCGCTAAGCCTGATGACCTGAGCTAGAGCCCTGAGACCCACAGGGTGGAGAGAGCCAACTCCCTCAGGCTGTCCTCTGACCTACACAAACATGCCACGGGACACACACACACACACACACACACACACACACACACACACACACCCCAAAACAAATGAATGAGTGCAATCAATAAATGAAAATGCAGCTTTAATAACTCTCTCAGTTTTTCAATTCCCAGACTCACACAGACTTATAAAAAACAGAGAAGTATGCCAAGCCATTTAGTACCCTTCCTGGTTGGTAGCTGATGGATCTTGACCCATCAGCCTTGCCCCAGTAACTGCTTTACTTCATTGGATCACCAGACCTAGTAATCACTCCAGCTATCTTACCCAGGGTACTTTCACCTTTAAAAAACAATCAGAGCCACAATTAAGTCAGCTCCAACTGGGTAAAGGGGAAGCAAACAAGGATGTTTTAGCAATGTCTTGCTGCCAGACAAAACCTGCAAATATTAGGATAGTTCTGCAAGCAAAAACAGAAAGGAAAGAATACAGAGGGATACCTTCATGTGTTTTCTTCACCTGAATGTGTGTGCTTGCAATGGATTCAGCATTTGCTATTTTTGCTCATGGATTTTTTTCTCCCCTCCAAAAGAATCTTGTTAATTTGATTTCTATTGCTTTTGCCTATGTCTTTTTTTTCCTCTTTATTTTCTTGGTAAATATATTTGATGCACGCAAAAAGACTATACAAAATACAAATTACTTATAAATGGGCATGGTAGTGTTTGCACAGCACTTAGGAGGTTGAGACAGGAGGAGCCAGAGTTCAAAGACAGCTTGAACTAGATAGTAGGATTCTGTCTCAAATAAACAAACAAAAAAAATGTTGATTATAAAATCAAATGTAATAGAAAACAGCAAACTAAACACCCAAGAACTGTCCTAAACACACTTTTATTACAAATATATATATATATATATATACACACACATATATATGTCTAGATATAGAGATATACAGATACATATAATAGTGTTTAATTTGTCTTATTTTTTTATAAAACTGTTTATGGATTTATTCACTTAAAAAAAGAAAAACATCAAGACAGAATTGAAACCAGGAAAACAATTAGCTTTAGATTCTCTCTCAGGACTCAGGTGTCCGTTTGCCTGCATTCTGTCCATCTCCACAACCCAGTATCACCGATTCTTGGTCTCCTGTCTAAATGTTATTCATACCTACACTTAACAGCTGTTAACACATAAACATGTATATGTTCTAAGGCTAGGATCTATACACATATAATTGATAGCGAAAGTGTTCAGAATGGCCATTCTCTCTGCACAGAGGCTGGCTCTCTGAGGGCATAGAGCTGGGGACTGGGTGAATAAGTGGCTTCTATAATCTTTCCATGTGGTGATTTTATTAGTGAGTTCACTATGAATTTGTCTTATTTTTAAGCTCTGTTTCATAAGCATCATTTAGTGGATGCTGGGGCATCAGTTCAGATCTTCCTTGCAGAACTATGACATTTACTCTCCCATCAGCCAGAATGCTGGTTGCTGAAGGCTGGCAGCTGTGTCCCTCTGTGAGCATTACCCTTGGTCAGGGGAGCTACTTCACCTCCTCCGCAATGGGAACTTGCACTTCATGACTAGTAGGTGGAGACATACAAAAGCCTGGGCCATTTACTTTATGAATGGACAGCTCTGAAAAGCCTCCCAGCTTCAGCACTCTTGCGACATGGCCTGAGGCCTCAATTGTAAATGGCCTCAGTTCAGCTTCTTCGGCTTAACCCTTCTTCCCTCACTCTCTTACAAATGCTGTCCCTAGAGTACTCCATAATAGATCCCCAGCAAGCAAATCTCACCCTCAGCATCTGTTCCCCCAAAACCTGTCATGGGTTGCAGTGTGTCTCCTCAGAGGACCTAGCCACCCTCCGGCCTGTCGAAGGCATTGCTATTTGGCAATAGGGTCTTTGTGAATATAAGGAAGTGATGATGAGTTTCCACTGGGTGGGTGCGGCTTTCAATCCAATCATCCCCCATGGAGAAAGTCAGATGGAGAGCCATACAGAGAGGCAGAGAGAAAAAAGCCCAGTGATGATAGAGGGTGAGTACAGTGATGCAGACACAAGCAGAGGGAGGCTGAAGATTGCTGACAACTACAAAAGCTCGGAAGACGCAAAGAGCCATGGCTAGACGCTCCAGATACAGGGCAGCACTGCCAACACCTTGATTTGGCATAGTTGGATTCAGAACTGTGAGAATATATCCCTCCTCTTCCTCTCTCTCCCTCTCCCCCCCCCTCTGTATTATGCATGTGTATGTGTATATGTGTGGAAGCCAAAGGTCATTATCAAGTGGCATCCTCCACTGTTCTTCAGCTTAGTTTTTGAGGCAGGATCTCTCACAGAATCTGGGGTTCACAGATTTGGATATATGGCTGGCTAATGAGCTCTAGCGATGTGCCTGACTATACTCCCCTGTGCTAAAGTTACAGGCATGTGCCACAAGACCAAGCTTTTACATGGGTACTAGTAGGAATCTGAACTGAGTTCCCATGCTTGGACAGTAAGAATTTCACCCACTGATTCATCTCCCTGCCCCAAGAAATGTCTACTCCTTAAAGTTACATCTCTCCTGACAGGAATGAAGGTCCTTTAAAGAGACATGTGTGCCCTTCTCCTGCCTAACAGACTATGGAACAATGGTCTATTGGAACTATTGACTGTTGAAACAATAGTCACCAAGAAATCAGGGTCACCCCTAGAACACCAGCTAGAAAGAACTGGCTGAAGTGTGAAGCCAATCAGAAGGGAATTTGTCTCCTAGAACAACTTGTCAAACAACTTTGCAAGAGACTGGAGAAGAGACAAAGATGGGTCAACAATGGGTAGGACCATGCCTTGACTTGAACAGCCTAGCTATTCATACTTCTTGCCTTCGATATAAACCTAACCCTCAAGACCCCAAAGATGGACTTGGAAGGTCAACTGGACCACTTTGTCCCTCTTTCAGATATTACCACATCTAATGAATAATTTCTTCTCTGCTTTTCATGGTTGCTTGTCTCTTTAATTGGAGTATTGACAATAGATGGGTTTGTTAATCCTTACTTTGTTGTGGATGCCAGGCCCCAGGTACACTGATAGGAACACTCTGGTAACATAATGGGACTAATCCTTCAAAGCCTAGCCAGAGTAACTCCATCTTGTAGCAAACCATTATTTGTAGCTGTTCCATGTACCCAACTGTAGCACACAACAAGCAAGTCTTCCCGAAGTTGGAGAAGTCACTGCAGAGATCACCAGAATCTCTGATATAGACAAGGAGGGAGCAGATAACATAAGACACACAGATAACAATCCCAGAGTCAGACATCATCTGCCTTACAGTGCCCAAGCTTATAGTCATATCTACTGCTTTAATAGTAGATAGAGATCTAAGCCCAAGTTTACATTAATTCTCTGAGCCAAACTCAGGTCCTCATACTTATACCACTGAACCATCTCCCCAGCCCCTAGAGAAACTGCCTTATCAATACCTAAATAATTCTGGGGAACTGGTTTCTATTTCCAAACTATATGCCATCTCAGACAGTGCTTGGGAATTATCTTATTGGTGACTAGTTCCATACTTCATTATCCCTGTATATCATATGTGTGTATTAAGGCTATGGATGAACCAGTCTTTGGGAAAGTCCTATGCCATGGGCCTATTTTTGGTCTGATTTACAGGAAAAGCAAAAGGCCTAATGTCAATGTTTTCACCAAGTCCTTCTGAATAAGCCACTCATTTATCATTTCATGAATGGGATATTTTAATCATTTAAATGGTAATGTTCAGAAAAAGACTTGCTTTCCAAAGACTGTTTCTTATTCATAGAAGAGGTAAAATAAGCTGGTCTTAACATATGAAAAGGCACTGTTTATAGAAATCGAATTCACTGCAAATTTATAGAGGGGGAAAAGCAAAGATTGTGGACAGATCATAAGTTTGAATACAGTTTGCAAGTACATAGAAAACACAGCTCAGTGGGTAGGCAGGCCTGCTGCACAAGCGTAAGGAATGAGTTCAAATCCCCAGCACTTATCTAAAAAGCATGCACATACCACAACACATACACACAAGAAAATAATAAAAAATTTGAAATCTACTAGCAATACTTCTTAGTTTCAAAATGTAGCTGATACTCAAAAACATGGCCATTTGTTTTAATATTTCTGATGCCATTTAGATTCCTTCTTGCTGTTCTAGAGTTTGTCAATGTTAGAGAGGCATCATCAGACTTGTTGATTCTGAGGCTATAATCCCTGAACTTCCCAGGCTTTTATTGCCCACGGACTGGATGTTCAAACCCCATGCAGATAGCTTTTTTCTTTCCCTGCCTGTAGGTGAGAACATTTTATCATCCTTACGGTCCCGAATGCCTACTCAGGAGTAGCTTAGCCAATAGATGGGAACATTTACTGCACACTGGATGTGACACCTGGTACATTACATTCCCCAGGGAATATACTGTGGCTCCATGTTTAAATTTAATCACAACTCTGCTCTTGTTCAAACTTCATATCCACTCTGCTTTGAGACATAATTCAAGTCTTAATCTAAAAGGGAGAAATTTTTTTTTGAGGTGGTCTTACTATGTAGCCCTGGCTAGCATGAAACTCACTTTGTAGACCAGGCTGACCTTGAACTCACAGAGATACACCTGCCTCTGCTTCCT